CTACCCTAAAATTAAGGAACGCTCGACCTCGACATGTGATATCGAAATGGGCGAAATCGCCTCTTGATATCACTATCTTGAATCTTGAATCTTGAATCTTAGGCTAAGAAGGTAATTCAAAATACCTGTAGATAAGGAAATCAAATAGCAGCAGAGGGGGAAAAAACCTACAGTATTTAAAGCTGAGGATTTGCAATTCACAACTCAGTTCATCTGCCTACTGTCATTCTCGGGCGAGATGGACTTCATTCAAACACAGAAGAACACTCTGAAGCCACTGCATCAAAACTATCGATTCGCGTAGAAGTATGGTGTTCAAGGGAAGATCATTTGGAGATGTGACCTGTCGACTTGTAGAGCATGAATGCGTACTTTTGGAGATCAAGTGCTGAAGGAACCAGGTGAGCAGAGTACTTTGCATATACTAGTATTTATACATTTGGAGAGCTTTGGACTAATGTATTTGCGTTAGAGGTAAACAAAATTTTCTGAAGTCTATAAGTAAGAAATTGGAGATATTCTACACGTAATAACCCATGCAATAAATGTATACTGTATATTGACTGAAATAAATATGCTTCATGAAACAATTTTGATTGCCAATTACATCAAGGATTTATTTTCTATCATACTTTTTTCTAAGCTTTCGCAAGGAAAATTCACTATCAATTTTCCTTTTACAGGAGAACACGAACTTGGACCTGACCATGGTAGATCTGAAGTTGATCTAGTACGCACTGATATGAAGAGACGGGGTAAAGATACTGAAGAAGTCACCAGGAATATCGTTTAACATGGCTTAGCTCTAATTCCCCTTGACAAAGTTCATATGCTACCAAGTCAAGAAACTTTGAGCTGTGACATCCGCCGTCAGAGACAGAAGGCTTTCGTTGGTCTGAAGGAAATTAATCATTTTGGGAATACGATCATTGGAGAACAATTCCTACGAGTCAAGAAAGATGATTTTCTCCTGGTCGCAGATTCAATTGACCTTGACATCTTGAGACGAAGTCAGCATTGGTTCGCACATGGGACATTCAAGGTTACAATGCCTTCATATATTAAGATCTTCACAGTTACCTTCTTACCAGGTCATGTAATTAGCATGATGCAAAAATTCGAGTATCTCACTAGTTTAATGCATTGTCGTTTTTTCTCCCCTATGATTTGCAATATAAAAAATAACATATATTCCACTATTTTAGGTAATTCCCGAGAAGCATGATCAGCTATACACCATACATGCTCTTCAGCATGATGTCAACTATCCATGTGTTTACGCGCTTCTGCCAAAACGGAGAGAGATCACAGACATTTGCTGGAGCATGTATTAATTTGGTCTCCGGTTGTGCCCCTACCACAGCCCAGTAGCATATAACATTGAAACAACATTGATTCACTGTTGATTGAACATTTGAACGTTGAACAAATATTGAATCAACGTTGTTTCAATGTTATATACTACAAGGGAGTGATTACAGACTGTGAGCCAGCAGCAATCAAAATATTTCAAGCGACATTCCCCTGGAATGGACGTAAGTGGCTGTCCCTTTCATCTGGGGCAGAACATCTAGAGACAGCATCAAGCGGATGGTTTGCAAGTAGATACATCGCGGATGTCGACTTCGCTTCAAGAGTGAAATGTTTGGAGGTGTTGGCATTTGTCCCACCTGACGAAGTACTTGCAGCCTACAAAGAATCGGTAGGTAGCGATGACTCCAAGGTATTGGATCCTCTTCTGGAAATTTTCGAATATAATTACATTGGAATTATTTTCGCTCGAAGAGGACGAAGAGCTGCACTCTGGTTTCCCATTCCATCATTGAACCAATATCACAGTGTTCTAGATGACCAACCAAGAAGCAACAACATATTGGAGGGGTGGCATCAAGATTTCAATCATGCTGTTGGAATTACCCGTCTGTCAACTGTGCGCCTTGCTCAGAAGCTGCAGAAAGAGCAACATTTGTTTAAAAATGGGAAAAGTTTGTTTTAAAATTTGTTTAAAATAAAAATCGGCAGTGAGATTTGATTAACACCGCCGGTGAAAAGGAAGAAGTATCAACGAATAAATGCGGCTCTCAGCACAATTGTAGCTGGCTTTACTAATTGAGATGTTGTACAATTTTTCACTGACTTTGGACGCGTCGTCAACATTATTCTCCTGTGATTGAACTTCATCTGTAATGTAATTTCATGTGATTCCTTATTTTGAATGAATAATATTAGTTTGTACTTGCTACTCTGCTTTTTCCTGAAGGAAACCTCCTTCCTATGCCTATCCCTTATGCCTTCTGCATATGCGTATAAAGTATAAACCACCAGAACCACCAATTTCTCAGCTGTTACTTTTGTCCTGGCGAGATTTTCTCTGCTTACCATTTTTCACACCGCGAGTTCAACTCTGAGGTAGCAATTCTTGAATGCCATATTCATTCCTTACATGATTATTGCAGTTAAACAAGGAGAACTCGATGAAGAATGCAATTCGGGTCTTGGAACAGAGGCTTGCTTGGATTCCAACTCAGAATGTGTTAGCGAAAATCCAGGGACTGATCCAGAAAAATGCAAGTGCAAGAATACACATGTGAACGATGGAGGAACGTGCAGTGAGTTTGCGCATTCTTAATTAGACGCACCGTATTAATTCAGATTACATTTACGTACCATCAATAATGAACGTCGGCGCAACAAAATCGATAGACCCACTTCTCTTCACTCATTGGCATTCCAGAAAGTAAATCTATACTATATTTCCGAACGTTTCTGTCTGTCCTTTATGCACGACCACGCCTCTGATCCCTGTTCGACGAAACTTTGCATGGCTTATTCATTTGGTCCGGGGATGGTCAGGGTAGGACCAACCCAAGACCAAGGCCCTCCTCCCCTTCCCCTCGCCCAGGCAATCGCCTGGGTCTCCTACCCCTAAATACGACCATGCCTCGGGATGCCTTATTTAGTGCAGACAAATATGGGACGCATGCAATATTCACCCATGCAATGCCGGGTACCTCTGCTAGTTCCTTATACCTAGGTATAGAGAATCCATAACCAATACCTTAGATCTTTTCCCTTCGGAAATAGAGTGTGTCAAAGTTTTTATTGAGGGAGGCGCGCTTTTCATGGAATTCTCAGTCGAAGCACGTGTCAGAAATATGTTTTGCTGATACGCGGTCTTTTTTTGGAAAACTTAAACATCACGCTCTAATGAGTGGATGGAAAGGGTAAGTTATCTGTATGACTTGTTCTGATTGATCTCATGTTCCATCACTCATGATTCCCTGTTTCTACGGCAACACAAACTTGAAACTCCAGAGCCACAGTTCTCAAAGGTTGGCCGCATTTACATGAGACAGTTCTTTAATGGGAATGTATTTTTACTCCAAGCAAATGGTCAGTAAATGCCCAAGAATCCTCCCGTCTCTTTGTACTCAAACCAAAGTTCCCATTTTTGGCCTTTACTAAAACTCGAGAAGAAAGGGGAGAGGAAAGTCCTTTCAAGATTTTAATATAATTCCTGTTGAGAAGCAAAGTAATCAGCAAGGTAATCAAAACTGGCATTTTCTGGATTCCCTCAATTCTTTATGAACCTGACTGTTCCGAAGGTCTCGGAGGGCATACGCGTACTGACGGATTTTTTGTCATTTCCTGTGTGTGTGTGTGTAGGGAAGCCAGTCGATGGGCAATGCATGGATGCGGCAGAATGTGTGAGTAATGCCAATTGCACGGACACAGAAGGAGCAAAAACATGCACGTGCAATACAAACTATGCTGACCTGGACGGCCTGTGCAGTGAGTTGATACACCTCCTTTTCTTCTTCTAGAGATTCCTTGCCGTCAAAAATATTGAATGATTGAGAGAGCTTCAAGTCTTCCTGGAGTAATTACCATCTCTGACTAGTGCATCTTTTATCAAATTTTGAAAATTGATAGATTCGTAATTTATTGGTTTACGGAATGAAGAGAAGTTACCAGCACTTCAAAAAAAGTAACTCAAAATGCCCGCAGAAACTGATGGGTGAAGATAGACTACTTTCAGATACTGGGAAGGTCAGTCCTGATGTCTTCATATATGTTCCATCCATGAAATTGCGACTGCAGTGTGTGTTAGGTTGAATTATTGTTTTGTAGACCGTGAGCTCAACTCATATAGCAATTCTTGAATGCCATATTCATTCCTTACCTGATTATTGCAGTTAAACAAGGAGCAATCGATGAAGAATGCAATTCGGGTCTTGGAACAGAGGCTTGCTTGGATTCCAACTCAGAATGTGTTAGCACAAATCCAGGGACTGATCCAGAAAAATGCAAGTGCAAGAATACACATGTGAACGATGGAGGAACGTGCAGTGAGTTTGCGCATTCTTAATTAGACGCACCGTATTAATTCAGATTACATTTACGTACCATCAGTAATGAACGTCGGCTGGGCGCGATATCGGAACGCCTCGATCCCTTCACTCATTAGCACTCGGAGAAACCTTTGAAGTTGCCTGGAGGCCATATTTGTAGGGTTCTTGGCCTTCTTTAACCCCTGCCCCCCCCCCCCCCCCCCC